TTCCCAGCAGGTATACTCATCCGATCAGGAGTGGACTCGAACTCGGGTTGTAATAGGGTAGCATATAATCTCGACACCTTAACCACTACGTCACACTGCTAAGTAAGGTATATTCGTATGATTGTGCGAAAATTCAACTTCAAGTCCCTTTATCACCTTAAACGAAATGGAGTGAGTACATCTCATTTATATGATCTATTTATAGTCTCGAAAGCCTACTTATAAACGAAGAATGAGTAATGTAGTCGACTTCTTAATACATACAACTTTGCCTTATCGACAATCTCACCACAGGGTTTGGTATGAAAAAATGCCTGAACTTCCTCGAAATTCACATTTGCCCTGTGGCTCAAGAAAACTCGTGACAGTCTGGCCTAGTCGCCAACTTGTCGAGATTATACGCTGCAATGTCGTGGTTCGAATCCCGTCGGTGGTATTGATGAGGCCAGTTGCGGCGAGATGGAAGCTTCAGCCCACTCCTTTCCTGATGGGTATACCTTTTTTGGCAAAATTCAACGGAAGCGTAATTTCTTAATGATTGTAGGAAAATTCAACTTCAAGTTCCTTTTATCACCTTAAACGAAATGGAGTGAGTACATCTCATTTAAATGATCTATTTATAGTCTCGAAAGCCTACTTATAAACGAAAAATGAGTAGTGTAGTCGATTTCTTAATAAATATAACTTTGCTTTATCCACAATCTCATCACAGGGTTTGGTATGAAAAAAAGTCTGATAACTATTATGGCAAAGGACTTCGGACAAAGTGCGTCTATCTAAGTCGCCCTGACAACAAGTACAAGTTGCAAAAAAAAGGTCAACTCACCTGTACACATCGAAAGAAGACTGCGACCATACCTAAAGCGGCAACCTCTTGTTTTTCATATACTCATTAAGTTTTGTCTTTCATAACGTTCACTCATACCAACACGACTGCAGTTTCGACCACACCTCATCATCGCCCAACAGCAACCTCAAGGGGATTACACTATCGACCCGACAGCCAGTGAGTCACCGGTAACTATTGGAAACTCATTCCTCCGTGTTTGCATCACATCAAAATTCTCTCACAAAGCCCAATTGCATCAAAAATAAGTAATATCGTCAGTTGTAATTGCAAGTACATGTTTGCCTCATCAACAATTCCACAAAAAATATGACTTGCAAAAGGTCTGGCTTAACCTGACAGTCAATTCTACCTTGTGGGATGCATGTGATTGTATGCTACGTCGAGGCTTGACGCGTACAACCCGGCTTCGAATCCCGTTATGAGATTGTTAAGACCAATGAGAGGTCGAAATCGTAGTCCAATTGAAAATAAGACCAAACAAAATGGAGTAGTGTCGAGAAGCCCAAACGAATTTCAGCTATCATCCCTTACATGACCTTAAGCGATTTAGGCAGACTGACAGTATTGAAGTGTATTCATATCAAATGCAACATCTTTAGAGTGAATGTGTGTGATGAAGAGGTTCATTAGTCGTTCTTACCAGAAGACAACATAGTCATAATGGCTGCTCATTAGTTTCCTTTTCTAAGACCCATAGTTTCTTTATATATATGAATTATGTGCGTATATAAATACAAAGAAATTGATGATCGAGCTCATACTTACCCTAGATTTGGTGTTTTCAATATGAAACTAAGACTGATCATGTGAGTATTGGTCCTCATGTAAGTGAAATTAGACTTGTAGAGACTCTATTCTACTGTCAGTATGGCTACATCTCTCACAGTCACTACAGACTTAAGGGAGATATTGTAAAATAGCACTCATTAATTAAAGTAGAGGCCTGACTCACTCTTATTTCAGAATTCTTGCTTAAACTCCAAACAATGGCAACTGGGTTGAAAGATAAGGTTTTGCTGTAAGTGAAGAATGAAGAGGATAAGAAAGAAGGAAAAAAGGAGCAATAGATTGATGCAGGAAATTATAAACATGACAAGAACCTCATTGGACACTTCCACTGAGGGGCTCCTTTCAACTGGAATGAATTTTATGTTCATAGAAAGTCAGTTGGAGACGCTCAGTAAGTCCTGAATAAAAGTGATAGTCACGCCAGGCCGCATAAGATAATGTAGAACGAATAGCTGATTTTTCCCCATAATCATTTTAATAGGCATCAAATTTCCATTGAATTTCCCTCCGACTTGCTTCTCAACATCATATTTCAATCAAGACCGGATTGAGTCTCATCGGCGTCCAAGTGGGAATCGAATCCTTGTTGTGGTAGTGTAAACTCGATATAACTTCGAAATGTCATCACTACGTCACCTTACCACAACGAGAACTGAGTCACAGGACAGACATGGATTTCAAACAAGGGCCACGCCTTTTCCTAATCACATTTTATCGTTAAATTATAAATTAGACAAACATGTGTTTTGCCTTTAAATGTACTATGCTACTAATATTCATTAGTAGTAGGTTTAAAAGAGTGTCAGCAAATATTGAGTAAAATAATTAAAATGAAAAGTCAAACTACATAAAATCACATGTACGAAGTCATCTGCCATAGTAGCTATCATAATTCCAAGCATCAGACAGTGGAATTGGTACATTCTCAAAAGTTTCGCCGGCATCGTCAGTGAATGCCGCCATTCTCCGTCGAACAGACAACAAACGAAGGTATGAAGACCAAGATGGTGTGGCCTTTTGTGTGGTCGCAGTCTCCTTTTGTTGTCTAGAGGTTGTTTGACCTTGTTTTCGCAACATGGCCATATTGGTAGGAAGACTTATTGGAATGCACTTAGTCCGGGGTCCATTGTCTGCATGATCATTACCAAAGTTGAACTGTGGACGTGGTACATTTCCAAATGTTTCACCGGCATTATCAGTGAGTATCGCCATTCTTAGCACCACACAACAACTCGTCTTGTCTCTTTCACGTGTTTTTGTGTGGTGCTGAGAATGGCGATACTCACTGACGATGCCGGTGAAACGTTTGGGAATGTACCA